CAGAAGGAAAAAACCAATGAACTAAAAACTAGATGAAAATACTATTGGAATGTGGCAAGTATGGAAAAAAAATATATTTACATGGGGGGGCAGGGAAGGAGGGAGGGAGAGAGATGGGAGAAGGAAAGAAGGGAGGCAGAGAGAAAGAGGGAGAGGGAGAGAAAGGCAGAGGGAGATATAAGGTGAAAAATGCAGAGAATATGAAGAAAAGGTATAACGTAAGTTTAATGGTAATTTAAAAAGCAGAGAAGAGAAAACGAATCTGAGGAAATATTTGACAAGAAACTACATAGGCACTTCCATTAAGAGAGAATAGACTTCACGGTAGTTTGACATCAGAGCTCTCTACCCTAACTACTATGCTTATGATCCCTGAAAAAGATATTACCTAACTAGCAGTTACAGGATCATAACTAGCAGTCATGATGTATCAGTTATGAATAAGGTGTCAGTAGTATATATAAAGCAGAAACTTAAAATAGATGAGCAAATCAACAAAGTCGATTCAGAAGGATTGAGTAAAATAATTATTAAGTTTGATCTAATCCAACAGAAAAAACACATTCTGGTTCCTAGTCTCATATGGAGCCAAAAAGAGAACTTCAGTAAATTTCAGAAAGCAAAGATCGCATAAGGTACATTCTTTAACTATAATTCATTATTAGAAATTAACCAAAAAAAGCGCAGCCAAACAAACAAAACCTATCTATTTTGAAATTTTACAATACCCTTTAAAAATATCTCTTGGATCAAAGGGAAAAATATAAATTAACAATAGAAAATATGTTGGAAAAAATAGAGCACTCTAAAGTATCAAACTATGAAATGAATGTCAAGTTGTACTTAATAGGTAATTTATATTAAGTGCACATACTACAAATGAAGACTAAAAAGAAGATTCAAGAAGATAGAAAAGAAAGTAAAAAAAAATTAAAAGGGTAAAAATGAGTAACACAAGAAAGCATATAACATGATTATGTTTCCCCAAAGGGAAATTATTTTGAAAAGGAAAAAGGTGACTAATATACGTTAGGCAACCAAAATGTGCCACAGCATGTTGCTATACACTATTATCCTTGAGATAGATAATACACTAAAATCACTGTATGTTAAATTTCTAATGACAGGCAAAATCTACTTATAAAGAAACATTTCAGAAAGTAGCTCTTAACATCCAAAAAGGTAGTTTTAAAATAATACTAATAAATATTAATATTTATTAGTACCCCCCAAAATTGTATGGATTAACTCATTTATTTTTAAATCTTAAGTTCCTCATTAATCAAACTGTAAAAAAGGAAAAATCTAGAAAGTTAAGTAACTAGAGATTTCTTAGCAGTAACTATCTAGTAACTATCAAATAACTCGCTAGCTACTACATGCAAACACGCTACATGAAGCAACCAGTCTCCAAGGGCCTTTTACCTTAAAACTAGATAAACTAAATAGAAAACAATGATGTGTTTGGGTACATTTTAACTTTTTTCAAGTGATCAAAAGAACCAAGGAGAGAGGAAAAGGTAAATAATTCAAAGCGCTTTTTCCATAGACTATTCATCTGTAAATTAATCCTACTTACATCATTAGACTTGCATTTTTCCTTGTGAGAATATATAGTCCATTCCAAAAGCATATTTACTGGTTTGGTCAAAAGCCCGGAGGTTTCACTTCCTGCCCAAAAAATTTCAAGAAGCATTGCCTTTCCTGTTATTTTCAGACTCTGAGAATCTGACCAGTCATACAACCTAATTAAAATATAAACAAAAAGGACATCTTTATGCCAATTTGATCATGACAATTATTTGACGTCTCTACTAAAAAAATGCTACCAATTTTTGAGCACATCATAAAATATAAAGACTATAACAATCATAATTGTTTTTATGCTTAATAATAAGCAGGAACAAAACTTGCTGTAGACTCAGTGTTTAAAATTGGTATAGTTTTTCACTTAAGCATTCAATTACTAAGGATTTTTTTTTAATCCTAAAAAATGAAAACACTCTTATCCATCCAAATGAATAGAGGAAGTGAACTGAGGAAATTTTTTAAAGGAGCATAAACCTTCACTCACTCTGAGAATATGTGGAAATATGTTTTAAAAATAAATCTACTTTAAAATAGAAAACAAGGCGACTTTTTAGATATATATGTACAATAAGTCTAAAAAATGGTGCATAGAAACAATAGAAATTGGCCAGGCATGGTGGCTCATGCCTGTAATCCCAGTATTTTGGGAGGTCGAGGTGGGTGCAAAGTCAGGAGTTCAAAACCAGCCTGGCCAATACTGTGAAATCCTGTCTCTACTAAAAATACAAAAATTAGCCAGGTGTGGTAGCAGATGCCTGTAATTCCAGCTACCCAGGAGGCTGAGGCAGGAGACCTGCTTGAACCTGGGAGGTGAAGATTACAGTGAGCCAAGATGGCACCACTGCATTCCAGCCTGGTGACAGAGAGAAAGACTATCTCCCCCTACCAAAAAAAAAAAAAAAAAAAAAAAAAAAAGATATTTAGATAAATGTGATTTTTGTGATTAAAACTTACTTTTGACTCAGATGTTGTACTTCACTTTCAATTAAATTAAAGAAAAATTTGAGCAGTGTCAGGTGGAGCACCTTAGAGCCAATATTATCTGAAATTTGATGACAAAAACTTTCATTGAAAAGGCAGGACCTGAAAAACATGAACCAATAATCTGTAACATACAAGCAATTCGCTAAGTAACTTGTGAACAAAATATTTCTCCTTCTAGAATATTGCTGGAATTTTAATAAAATTTTCTTAAAATATAAAGCAAGTTCAACAAAATTTTATTAATATTTCTTCCTTCAAAAATTAAATGTCAAATATCTCATGACTACTTAATTCTTAATAAATACATCTAATTTCTCATTTTTTCAAGTGATTATAATATTTAACAGCTATCAGGTACTCTCCCTTTGTACTCTTTTTGATGAAATTTATGATTCTTTGTTTTCACTAATGAGAACAAAGAATCATAAATTTCATTTCATCAAATCCTTTTGATTTAAATGACCAGCTAACCTCTCAATTTACGATACTGGCCAGAATCCTTCTCTTTCTTACCCAAGATTACTTTTTCATTAGTAAATGAAGACTATTTAAGGCTACTCTTTTAAAGTTTTAAAAATTCATTATTTTTACTGTCTTCTAAAGCAGTCCTTTCCAACTGAACTTTCTGTGATGTACACGTTCTACTAGACACTTGAAATGTGGCTTGTATACCAGAGGACCCAAATTTTTAATTACTTCGTCTAAACGAAATTTAAATATAAATAGATATGGCTAGTGGCTACTGGGTCAGACAGCACAGCACAGTTCTACACAATTTTTATTTTATTTTTTATTTTTTTGCATTAGTAGATGGGGTTTCGCCACGTTGGTCAGGCTGGTCTCGAATGCCTGACCTCAGGTGATCCACCGATCTCCGCTTCCCAGAGTGCTGGGATTACAGGCGTGAGCCACTGTGCCAGGCCTACCTGGCTAATTTTTAAATTTTTTGTAGAGGTGAAGTCTCCCTGTGTTGCCCAGGCTGGTCTCAAATTCCTGGGCTCAAGAAATCCTCCTACCCTGACCTCCCAAAGCACTGGGAATACAGGATTGAGCCATCATGCTCAGCCATAGTTATCCCTCAAAATGCAACTCAGCTGCCACTATCTTACTCTTACCCTTTTCTTTGAGTTAAGGTTGTCACTCACATCAGGCCTACAACTTTCTTAAGGATAGGTGCTCAGTCTTGTTTTCTTTTTCTTTTTTTTTTTTCACTTCCCTCTTACAAAAGGTGTTCAGTCCTAAGCATTTCCATCTTTAATATCTAATATAATGCCTTGAATGTAAATGCTTAATACATGTTTGGATGAATTTATTGATGCTACAGGAGATAGATTTTGGGCAGCTTCAAAATAGACTTTTAAACAAAAATACCTAGATTTCATATCAAAATAATTGGGTGCTGGGGTGGTGCTTCAAGAAGTATTAGGAATATAAATGAGCTAAGTGATACTAGTCCCTCTACTTTTGCATATTATTTGAAATATTCCATAATACAAAGAAACTTACATTCTTTATCTCTGACAGTTTTCATAAAGACTGATTAACTATGTGGGCATGAAGGATCTTATAGAACAGATTGAATATTAAATATAGGGGAGGGGAGGGAAGGGGAAGGGTGAAGCAAAGCAGCCAGGCATGCTAACTCATGACTTTAGTCCTAGCACTTTGGGAGGCTGAGGAGGGCAGATAGCTTGAGCTCCGGTGCTGGAGACCAGCCTGGACAACGTGGTGAAATCCCATTTCTACAAAAAATACAAATCTAGCCAGCCATGAGAGCACATGCCTGTAGTCCCTGCTATTCAGGAAGCTGAGATGGGAGGATCACCTGAGCCTGGGAGTTTCAGGCTGCAGTGAGCCATGATCGTGCCACTGCACACCAGTCTAGGCAACAGAAATTAGGAAAACATAAGAGCAAAAGTCAGGATGTGGAAAATAATGACTGGACACGTTTCGGAAAGTGGTGAAGATGAGAACTGAGACATACATAAGGGCTAACGCATGAAGGGTCTTATGTATTTTGCTAAGAAATTTGAACTGTCTTCTGTAAGTAGTTCAAAATACGTGAGTCAATGAAGTACTTCAATATGGGAAATGACCAGATTACTTTGGAAAGAGCATATTGGGGGGTTCTTTGGAAGAAAAATTAAAGGGAAAAAAGGTAAACCCAAGATCAATAAAGTAGCTGCTGCAATAGTTAACATAATGGGATGCTGCAGTAGTTTATGTTATGCAATGGGAACTTTAAAATAAAGGCATTTGACTGTAAAGGGAGGTATAGATTTGGAAATTATGAAGGATGTCAGCCACATAAAGTCTATTTCCTCATATCATATACCTATGCTGGGCTCATACTGCTGGGCTTGTACTTTTGTGCTGGTATTGTATTCATATCTCAGTCACTTTCATAGTACAAGAACTGTTATTTTAATGATCTTTTTATCCCTGAAATGTAGAGTACAGTGCCAGGCTCTCCATAAGTACTCAAGCATTTGTTGAAAAAACGAATGCATGCTAGTTAACTGATTAGCTCACTTCAAATATATCACAACCAAGATGGAATGTGAATCTTCATGATCTCAAAGAGCTAACCAGAGGTCTAGCCTTTGTGCGGTTAGTCAGGTGTCCTTTCTTTCTTCACTATGGACCTCCTGAAACTGGACATATGGATTAAAAAAAAAAAAAAATCTTCTTGGGCTGGTGTGGTGGTTCACTCCTGTAATCCTACCATTTTGGGAGACCAAGGCAGGCAGATCACTTGAGATCAGCAATTCAAGACCAGCCTGGCCAACAAGGTAAAACCCCATCTCTACTTAAAAAAAAAAAAAAAAAAAAAAAAGAAATTTACTAGGCATAGAGGCACACACCTGTAATTCCAGCTACTTGAAAGGCTGAGGCATAAGAATTACTTGAGCCTGGGAGGCAGAGGTTGTAGTGAGCTGAGATCAGGCCACTGCACTCCAGCCTGGGCGACAGAGTAAGACTGTCCTCAAAAAAAGAAAAGATCTTCCCAGAAGAATAAGGGCTATCAAATATAGTTATTTGAATAGCAAGGGGAAAACATTTTCTGTTAGGGAGAAAGAAGGTGAAACAAAGAATTTCTGGAGACAATAACGTCTGAAAGACAGAGGAAGGACTAGGCAGATGACAGCATGTGCAGAAGCATGAAAGAGAGGACATATTTAGGAAATATTAAGTTCTGTTTTAAAATTCAAATTGCTAACTGAAAAAATATAACTGAAGCCCTAAAATAGATACCATAGTTATAAATGTCTATACTTTTGATAACAAAAAGCTGATATACATATTCCATAAATTAATTTTCTTCATTTTAAAAACCATATGGAAATTTATATTTTGTTAAAAATAATGATTTGGCTTCCTAGTGAGTCCATTTCATATATTCACTTTTTATTTTTTAGGAAACAGACTGAAAAACATGACCAATACAAATCTGCCTTTTCATAAATTTTGCAATAAATACAATATACATTTGTATTTGCAACAAAATACACTAGACAAACTTTTCCGGAAGTAAAGAGATATTTCTTTTGGCTGGGTGCAGTGGTTCACACCTATAATCCCAGCACTCTCTGGAGGCCGAGGTGGGCGGATCACCTGAGGCCGGGAGTTCAAGACCAGCTTGGCCAACATGAAGAAACCTCGTCTCTACTAAAAACACAAAATTCGCCAGGCGTGGTAGTGCATGCTTGTAATCCCAGCTACTCAGGAGGCTGAGGCAGGAGAATCGCTTGAACCAGGAAGGCAGAGGTTGTGGTGAACCAAGATTGTGCCACTGCACTCCAGCCAGGACAGTAAGAGTGAAACTCAGTCTCAAAAAAAAAAAAAAAAAGATACTCTCATCAGTATCTTAAAAAAATACTTAGAGCGTAACAACTAGTCAATGAAACATAGCACTGTCACATATGAAATTCCTTACCTGATAAGCACTTCTACTAAAGACCATGCTCCTTTCATGCAAGTTGGACACTGAAACAACTCTAAATAATATCTTGACATGGCTGGAGACTTCCAGGGAGGATGCAGGTGAAGAAGAGCTGACAATATATGAAAGTATCGACCAGAAAATGTATCTATGTTATCCTATTATTTAAAAATAAACAAACAAATAAAATACTATAGCTAAAATTTATTTCACTTGCTAATTCAGTCTAAAAGCAAAACGGTAACCCTGGCCTAACTTTCTTGCCAAATATATGTGTTTAGACAAATGAGAGCAGATGGAAGTATTATGTTTAGCTAATTAAATACACTAACTAAGAGAGAGGCACACTCTATGTACAGCTGATACCTGAACAACAAGTTTTAACTGCATGTGTTCACTTACACATGAATATTTTCCAATAAATGCAGCCTATTCTTCACATCCTTAGGTTCCACATCTGCAACTAAATGCTTTTAGTTTCATGCATTCACTTTTTATTTTTTTAGGAAACAGATCGAAAAACATGACCAATACAGATTTGCCTTTTTATAAGTTTTGCAATAAATACAATACATATTTGTATTTGCAACAAAATACACTAGACAAACTTTTCCAAAACTAAAAAGATAGTTTATTACTACTAAATACTTTTTTAAACTAAGTTTTAAAGTAAATACTTTTAGCTGCAGATGTGAAACCTATCGATGTGCTGAGATTACAGGCCTCAACCACTGCGTCTGGCTTAGTAAGCAGTTTTGATTTCCTCATCTGTAAAATTAAGATAATCCCTGTTCTTGCTGCAAGATGAGATCATATAGTTCAAAAAGGATGAGATGTATGAATATATCTCATTGGTTATTGTATTAATTATCTTCTGTTGCCTTCAGTAGTAAGAGAAAATATTTTTCCCAGTAGTAAGGGAAAATTTTACAATTACCTCTAAAAGAAAACCTTTAAAAATAAAGTATTCGCAGGATGTAAAGCCTTTGGATGTGGAGGGCTGACTTCTCCTATAAGAGCGGGTTTTGAAGAACCAACTGCAGGACTTGATTACATGCAGATTTCAGTATCTACGAAGGTCCTAAAACCAATATCCTGTGACAGCAAGGGAAGACTCTATCTATACTTTGGTTAATCTCTTCTATTAACGCTACCTTAGATGAACCCTAAGGCAAATGAAATATTTTCCTTTTCACAATTTTAGTGAGATTTAAGAGGTCTCAAACGTTACCTGAAAGGAACTAAAGGTAAGAAACTATTCATGTAACACTCTTACTTATCACCAACATAACATAACTGATAAAGCTTATGTCTGTTATCAAATTAGCACCTTCATGAAGGGCATGATTAGAAAACTATCTTTGAATATTTGTTTCTATTTGTTTATACACAGTTTGAGTATGTTCCCAGCATGGGCAACACAGCAAGACTCTATCTCTACAAAAAATTTAAAAGTTAACTAGACATGGTAGCATGCACCTATAATCCTATAGTACTTGGGAGGCTGAGGCAGGGAGATTGCTTGAGCCCAGGAGGTTGAGGCCACAGTAGGCCATGATCATATCACTGCACTCCAGCCTGAGAGACCTTGTCTTATTTTTTTTTTTTTAAAAAGAATATGTTCATATATATACTATAAATAAAAATACCAATATACTAATGGAGTAATTTACAAAATGTAATTCTAGATCACTATAATCTGAATTTTATATTTGATACTTTACTGCCATAAGAAAAATTGGGTAACTTTTTTCCCCAACACAAAATTATCTTAGAAATCCTGAAAAAATAATAAGCTAAAGTACTAAGAGTAGTACCTAGTATAAAGCTGGAAAACAGAAGAGTGGTAATAAATGGGTACTGCATTTATTAGTAAAATAAAGGAAAAAAAAAACACTGAACAAAAAAAAAATCTGTAAACATACAAAAATGAGAAAATGTTCACATTTTAACATTCTTTGAAAACAAGATTATAAACCCTTAAGGCTGCTCTTACCTGTAGAATGTTCTCTAGAAGGGCATGAAGAAGGCATACAGGAGGGATATAATGTGCCTGCAAAGTGGAAAGCTCCTCAATTGCTTCCTTAAAAAACTGTCCTTCTATGAGGCTTTCAATTAAATTTAATATACCTCTGGGAAATTCAGCATTTTTAACCTAAGAAAGGAAAGATTCTATGATTCAGAGAAAAGGAAGATTAAACTCTGGAATCAAATCTCGAATTAGTAATGAGTTTGTTTGTTTATTTACAAGACAGAGTCTCACTCTGTTGCCCAGGCTGGAATGCAGTGGCATTATCTTGGCTCAATGCAACCTCTGCCTCCCAGGTTCAAGTGATTCTCCTGCCTCAGCCTCCTGAGTAGCTGGGACTACAGACGTGCGCTACCATGCCTGGCTAGTTTTTGCATTTTTAGTAGATACAGGGTTTTACCATGTTGGCCAGGCTGTCTTGAATTCCTGGCCTCAGGTGATCTGTCTGCCTCAGCCTCCCCAAAGTGCTGGGATTCAAGGCATGAGCCACTGCACCTGGCCTAGTAAGAAGTTTTAATTTCCTCATCTGTAAAATGAAGCTAATTCTTGCCCTTGCTGCTGGATGAGCTTATGTAGTTCAAAGAGGATAACAGGTATGAACATATTTTATTAGTTGTAATATAATTTTCTGTTGCCTTCAGTAATAAGGGAAAATACTAACTCTAAAAGAAAACCTTTAATAAGAATTTGTAGAGTTTGGTTGATAAAAAAGATAACTCAAGAGTTACAACTACATAGTTCTTTAGGTGAAAATTATTTTTTGGTTTTCTTTTAAACTTAAAAATGAACTCTGTCTATTAAAATATCTTGAAATGACACACCACCAAGCAATATTTGTAAAAAGTTAAAACTGATTGGGAGAATCATAAAATCATTCTGAGGATGTGCATTTATATAACTCTAAGAGCTTCAGAAAATACATTCCCCTTGGTCAAACCATTCTTAATAATAAAAGTAACTACTCTGAATAATTTGAGTCAAAAATATTCTAAAAGACTATCTGGAATAAAAAAAAAAAAAGTTTAGAAGAATAAATAAGGAAACAAGGGCCTCAAGCCCCATTCTCTCCCTAAATTAACAATGGACTGGATATATGTGTTGTGGGTTTATTTGTTCTGAAATGAAAGTATGTAAAATAAAGGTATCATTTTATTCAAATAACAATATAAAATAAATACACTTTTGTAAATATCATACCAAAAAATTTTAATCTAAAAGTAGTCATTATGAAAGTTAGGAAACATGAGAACGGGGATATATATTTCACCTGTCATAAACACAAGATGTGTTTTTAACATTTGTGATCATCTTTTACTAATATATGGAATTTTTTTTGAAGTTTTGACAGAATATTTGTATCATTTCTGATTAGAAAAACTATATTTCATATGTGATAGACAGCTTTGTTGTGCATACATTACTTTTCATCAAAAAAATGACTAATAATTACAAAACACCATGCTGCTTCTTTCCCCTTCCATTACCAATGCTACTGCAGATTCCTTACCTCTATATTGTACACCAGTTGTTTATCTATTCTAATGCAGTTGTGTCTAAAAGCCTACAAAAGAGCAACCATATAATTAAAACAACATTTTAAGATTGACAAATACATTTTAGCTTCCCAAAGCCTTGGAATAACATATAAAACAGATAAAGGAAGACCTTAATACCTATAATTAATATGACGCTCATATTTACTCAAAATAGCAACTTTTACTGTTTTTGGGTAATGGCACTCTCACAACTATGAACATTGCTCTGTTTTCTCCTTCTAAATTACAATAATAAAGTCATATTCACTTTGAAGATCTGAAGAGGTCCATTACCCTTAGTATCATAATTATTAGAAATATAAATGGGAGAGCATTTTGCACAAGGGTACACGGGAAAAAAAAATCAGTTATGTTTGCTATACAACCATACGTAAAATCTACCTTATTGTTTTAAAACACCTATAATTGCACATTTAAAAGATTATCCTGAAAAAATACCTGCAACCAATATTTAAAAAAAAAGAGATAATACACTGAGGCTGAGAGTGGTGGCTCATGCTTGTAATCCCATCACTTTGGGAGGCCGAGGTGGGCAGATCACCTGGGGTCAGGAGTTTGAGACCAGCCTGGCCAACATGGCAAAACCCCACCTCTATGAAATATACAAAAATTAGAAAGGTATGGCGGCAGGTGCCTGTAATCCCAGCTACTCTGGAGGCTGAGGCAGGATAATTGCTTGAACCTGGGAAACAGAGGTTGCAGTGAGCTGAGATGGCACTACTGCACTCCAGCCTGGGCAACAGAGCAAGACCCTGTCTCAAAAAAACCAAACCAAAACAAAAAAAAAAGACAATTCTCTAGAAGAAGGGGTCTTCAAGATGGCTGACACTCAAGAGATGTTTGGCACTCACCTCTTCCACAAAGGACTTAAACAGTGAACAGATAATCACACACAGAATAGGGTGTCTAAGAGAAAAACATTACAATTTAAAAGTGACAGGGAATCTCTGAGGCAAGCAAAGGTAGAGAAGCAAAGCAGCTGGCTCATATAGAACTGGCTGAGAGCCAGGAGAAACTACTCACTCTGAATGGGAAAAAGAGAGATCTATACCGGTCTACATTCCCACTGTGAATTCCTGCAATCCTAGATACAGGAGAGCCCCTTAGTCCTCACAGGCCCAGAGACTAGTTTAGAAAGTTCCCTGGAGCCCACTCAATGGCATTATTCCAAAGACAGAGTACTCGCTAAGTCCCACAAAATCTGCTGGCACCCAAGAGGCTGAAGCATGGTGCCATTTTGAAAGCCCAGACACTACCAGACTACATCCTGCTCTGGGGTCCAACAGTTCCTGCATATCCACAAGCCAGAAGCCCCACTGATATTCCTGTCCACCCAAAGGGCTGCAGTTTCATGATTTCAGCTGCAGTCAACAATGCAACTAGGTCACCAGCACTCTCACCTACACAGTGTCCTATATCCTGAGGAGTAGGAGGTGCCTTGCACCAGGGAGGCTGCCCTGGGGACAAAAGGAACCAAAGCAGGAGCTCCTCAGATCCTGAGAACTACCTGCCTGGGGCCCCTGGTACTGGCAGAAACCCTGTGGGACAGGGTTTCTGTGTGTTTAAAACCCTGCCCAGCAGCAGTATCGTCATGCACTTGCATATGGCTTCAGGAGGCCTGAGAACTGGCCCACTGTGGGTTGTCCCAGGGCTTAAAGATAGATCCACTCTGCCTGCTAATGGTGCCCACAAGAGCAATCTGGAAACCTGAAGACAGGCCTACCCCACCCACCACCACTGTGTAAATGCATCATACGAAGACGTGGGGATCAGACTGTCTTGTCTGCTGAGGCCAGAGCCTGCAGGAACTATCAGGGGGCCTGAGGAGAGGCCCACCACTCTGACTACTGGCACCAGCACCAGAGCCCAAGTGCACTACCAGGGGGCATGGGTATCAACTCATTCCTGTTCAACACTCCTGGTGCCTGTGCATACCATCAAGAGGCCATATAACAGGCCTACCTGGCCCAACGCAATAGCCACCTGAACCTGTTGTCATGAGGCCTGTGAACAGACCTGCTTCACTCACCACAGCTGGCACCCACACCTATCGTAAGGGGCCTAAGAACACGTTTGCCCCACAGGCAGCCTCTGGCAATGCCATCTGCACTTGTCATCCAGTGAAATCTGGATCAATGCACCTGATCACCAACCAGGTGCCCAAATACACCATCTGGGGGCTTACAACAGCCCACTCTGCCAACTGCCACTGCTGCTGGGGCCCCAGCACATCATCTGAGAACCTGTGGATTGACTCATCGCACCAGCTACCAGGAGTGCCTATGCACAAAACTAGGGGGATCAAAGGATGAGCATGTCAAGCTGCTGCTGCTGGTAACGACCCACATGTGCTACCTGGTCTGCTCAGCCTATTGCCACTACTGCTGGCACCTATGTTTGCTGCTTGGGGACCTGAGGACTGGCCTGCAACCACTACAGCCATCACCAATGTCATGCACGCCAAACAGAAACCTGAGGACCCACCCACTCCACTGCTGTCACTGCTGGCACCCAAGCAAGCCACCAGGAGGCACAGGGATTGGCCTACCCAGACCCACTATGACTAGTGTCCAAGTATATTGCCCAGGGACCCAAGAACCAGCATGCACAGCCTGCTGCCACCACCACTGCTGCCCAAGGACGACCTGCCTGTGTCCACATCCCCAGCAATACTTATTATAGCCTACACTAACAAATGCAGCCTAAGCCACTGACAATCTCAAAAAGGTAACACCGTGGATGACTACAGATGAAAAAATCATATGGATACTACATTAATGTGCCCACATCTGGCAAAACTAAAGCACTCAATCCAAGCAACACTATAGATACAACTATAGAGAAAAGTCTTTCCCTATGAAAGCCAATCCACAAAATTTGAAGTGACTGTAACTACACAAGAAAGGTGAAAAAGCAAGAAAACATGGCACCTGTAAAAAAATACAATAATTCTCCAGCAACGGATTCCAACAAAAAGGAAACCAAAAAAATTTCTGGAAAAAAAAAGATAATATGAAAAAATTTGGTGAGATACCAAAAAACACAGATGAACAATACAACGTAAGCAGGAAAATACTTCATAATCTCAATGAGAAATTCAACAAAAAGATATCATAGAAAAGAACCAAATAATAATCCTGAAACTTGAAAATTCAATGAATAAAATAAAAAATTAACAGAGAGCTTCAGCAATAGACTAGATCAAGCAGAAGAAACTATTTCTAAACTTGAAGACAGGTATTCTGAAATACAGACAAAAATTTTTTTAAAAGCCTAAATGGCATATGGGAAGCCATAAAATGATGAGATATTTCAAATTTTGAGAGTTCCAGATGGAGAAGAGATGTGCAAACACATAGAAAACCTATTTTAAAAACAATAGCTGAAAACTTCCCCAAGTCTTGTAAGAGATATTTCCAAATAGATTCAATCCTCAAAGGTCTCCAAGGCATATTATACTCAACTTATCAAAAGTCAAAGACAAAGAAAGACTTCCAAAAACATAAAGAGAAAAAGCATAAAGCCATATATAAGGAAATCCCAATTAGGGTGACAATAGATTTCTCAGCAGAAATCTTACAAGCCAGGAAAGAATAAGATGACATATTCATAGTGTTCAAAGGAAAACAACAACAACAAAACCCAATTCAACAGGCAAGAATACTATACCCAGAAAAGCTATCCTTCAAAAATAATGGAGAAATATTTCTCCATTATTGTCCAAAAAAAATGGACAAGCAAAAACTGAGAGAATTCATTACCAACAGACCAACCACACAAGAAATATTTACACAAGTCCTACAACTAGAAGTCTGCAAATAGAGACAATTTGACTTCCTCCTCATTGAATACCCTTTATTTCTTTTTCTTGCCTGATTGCTCTGGATGGAACTTCCAGTACTATATTGAATAGGAGTGGTGAGAGAGGGCATCCTTGTCTATTGCCAGATTTCAAAGGGAATGCTTGCAGTTTTTGCCCATTCAGTATGATATTGGCTTTGGGTTTGCCATAAATAACTTCACATTTCCAACTGAGGTACCAGGTTCATCTCATTGTGACTGATTAGATAGTGGGTGTAGCTCAAGGAGGGCAAGCCAAAGCAGGGTAGGATGTTGCCTCACCCAGGAAGTGCAAGGGGCAAAAGAAATCCCTCTCCTGGCCAATAGAAGCCATTAGGGACTTTCTAGACACTTCGGCACTCTGGCTCAGATACTGTGCTTTTCCCTGTCTTCACAACCCGCAGACCAGGAGATTCCCTCTGGTGCCTACACCACCAGTGCCCTGGGTTTCTAGCACAAAACTGGGTGGCCATTTTAGCTGCAGCTGTTTTGTTTTTTCCTCATACCCCAGTAGTGACTGGAATGCCTGCGAGACAGAACCACTCACTTCCCTGAAAAAAGGGGGCCAACGCCAGGAGCCAAGTGATCTGGTTTGGTGGGTCCCAATCTGACAAACACCAGCAAGCTAAGATCCGCTGGCTTGAAATTCTCGCAGCCAGCACAGCAGTCTGAGCTCAATGGGGGTGGGGGTGTCTGCCACTGCTGAGGCTCGGGTAGGCAGTTTTAACCTCGCCCGTGTAAACAAAGTCGCCTGGAAGTTTAAACAGCAACTAGGTGGAGCCCATGGCAGCTCAGCAAGGCTTCATTGGGCAGACAGTGACCAGACTCCCTCCTTGCTAGGCAGGGCATCTCTGAAAAAAGGCAGCAGCCCATCAGGGGCTTATAAATAAAGCCCCTATCTTCCAGGGTAAGACCACCTGGTAAAAGGGGCTGTTGTGGGCTCCACTTCAGCAGACTTAAATGTCCCTCACTGGCAGCTCTGAAGGGAAAAACAGATCTCCCAGCACAGCACTTGAGCTCTGATAAGGGACAGACTGCATCATCAAATGGATCCTTGACCCCCGTTTACACTGACTGGGAGACATCTCATATAGGAGAGCTCTGGCTGACATCTGGTGGATACCCTATTGAGAAGACGCTACCAGAGGAAGGAACAGGCAGTAAT